ACATGGTCACCAGCACGGGCGCCACCGCCCCTGCAACCACCGCCCCCGCAGACCCGACCGCCGCCCCCGCTGCGGACGCGCCCGCCCCAGCCCCAACCCCAGACACAGACACAGCCCCCGCCCCAGACACAGCCCCCTCCCCAGCCCCCGCCACGGACGCCGCGCCGAAGGGCGCGGCGCCGTTCGACCCGATCTTCATCCAGCGCCCGGACGTGCCGGACATGTCGGGCGCGGACATCTTCGACGTCACCTCGAAGGAGCTGTTCAACCGCGAGCACCACCACGTGCGCATCCGCCTGCACCAGGCCGTCTTTGACAAGGTCCTGAAGGACGGCGCGGAGGACGTCGACTCGGGCTACGGCCTGGTCGACGAGTTCCTGCTGGACGACTATGCTATATCCAACGTCGGCATCAAGGTCCGCGGCAACACCTCCGCCGCCAACGTCAAGCGCCAGTTCAAGTTCAAGTTCGACGCCACAAAAGTCTTCAAGTGGCAGGACGGCGCCATCGCAGACGTCGAACTCGACCCCGACAACGACGACAGACGCTTCCTCGGCGAGCAAGGCTTCTCCGTCAGGGCCAGCCAGAACGACCCCGCACGCATCCGCGAGATGCTCTCCGGCAAGGTCTTCCGCGAGGCCTTCACGGGCGACGAAGACCCGCAGCGCCCGTGGCGCACCCGCGGCGGACTCGTCTATCGCGCCGCCTTTGGTACCCTCTACGTTACTAACGGCCGCAGGGTCGAGGAAGGGTACGACCCCAACAACCCTGGCTATCGCGTCAAGTACGGCGACTACCTGTACGATCCCAAGGGACTCTATGTCATCACGGAGAACATCGACAAGACCTTTTTGAAGACCCGCTTTGAGCGCTTCCCAAACGAGAAAATCAAGTGCTACCTCTTCCAGGCCGACAAGGGCCGCGCTCATTTCACCAAGGAAGAGTACACGCGCGTGGGCTGGAAGCTCGAGCTGGCCAAGGGGAAGAATGCCAAGGACGAAGACGATTTCGCCAAGGGCGACGAGAAGATGGGACATCTCATCGACCTGCTCGCCTCGAACCCTTCCGAGGACCAGATCCGCGAGACCTTGGACATGGACAGCGTCAACGGCTACCTCGCCGCGGCCCTGCTGTGCACGCACTGGGACAGCCTGGCCGCCAACCGCAACAACGACTTCATGATGTACTGGAAGCGCGACGTCCTGGACGACCAGATGCAGCCCGTCCCGGACACCACGCCCGGGCGCGAAGGGGAGGACAAGAAGGAGGCCAAATGGTACATGATCACGTGGGACTTGGACAACACTCTGTGGGACAAGTATGGCGAGTCGAGCGACGTGCGCAACCCGTACAAGAACTGGTTCTCCAACTACATCTACCAGCCGGCCAAGAAGGACCAGTGCAAGGCCAAGCTGTTTGACGTCGTGTACGGAGAGAATAACAAGAAAGTCAGGGCCGTGTACGACCAGGTTCTAAGGGACATGCTCGCCGGGTACTACAGCAAGAAGGAGTACGATGAGACGGTTGAAGAGCTGAAGGAGCGCGTTTCAAAGGCGATCGAGGATACCAAAAAGGCGGTTGCTAGTGCAGGATGGCAGCAAAACTGGGGGGAGACGTGCAATCATCGGGACTTTGAGGACATCAAGGACCACGCCGATGACCGCAGGCATCCCATCGGGTCGCAGCTGGATTAGAGGGAGATGTAGAACCAGTGGTGCATTTGATGCATGGCGAGAAGCGACGAAAAACAAGCCGTACTAACGGTGTACGTTTGAGGTGGAGCTTCTGCGCGACGGTGAGAATAGGAATAGAGATGCAGTACCCTTGGTAGTGGACTCTGGAAGCAGATAAACGAATTGCACGAATTGGAATGTAGTGTCAGCACGGTTGGACGCAAAAGACAAACTGCGCACAGAGTACCCTTAGGGTAAGATATGAGCCGACCTCGACACACTCTGCACCTTGAGCTCAAACGCACACACGTGTGCAATCATTGGGATTTCCGAAAAATTGTACCCCACATTTGGCAACCAGGCCCGGATCACCTGTACTGTATGCCCAATATTGTGCACCACCACAGTGCTACACCACAAGCAGCATACACCCCACCAAACTCCCCCTTTCAGACCGCCTACCCCCCCAGCAACACTCGCCACCAACCACTCACTAAAAAAAAACCCAAAATCAATTATTTCATTGGGCTGCAGCACCGCGCGCCCCATAGACCATGGCATGACCGCGGCCAAACCAAACCCGCCAGCTCCCGCCAGCTCGTTGCCAACATCTCTCTCGCCCGCGTGCCCGTGTTGCATGAGAAACCCTCATATTCTGACTCGATCCTTGTTGGCCATAGCACCAGAGGCGCGGTAATATTTTAACAATTAAAATAATAGACTTTTTCTTACGCCCCTTTTATTTTGGAATTCTCCTTACATACCCTTTTTATGAGTCCCATTTCTTAGAAGAGCTAGATTGAATACGTGAGGAGGTAAAGAGGGCGTCGCAAAAATGAGTTTGATCAAAGGGAGCATGTTCCCTGACAAGCACAGCATCTTGATGGCATCCTTGACCATGTGCCCCACCGTGGGCCGATCTCACAAGGTAAAAAATCAGACTCTGGGGGCCTGCCTATACAGTGCCCCCCCAGGATTGCTCATACTGTATATCGTGAACGCCCAACCAGACCGCAGGGCAAACAACGGCTTGTGGACAGTGGGGTCGCAGCGCCCCAACGAAAGTCGCGATGCGCTGCATGTGGTCAGGTTGGGCACTACGCTACGACTTGCGAAGCCCAGACACTGTGTAAATTTACCTCAACCGGAAAGTCGGTCGGAAGTGAGGTGAAGAAAGGGGTACGCAAGAAATTTTTCAAAATAAAAGGGGTACGTAAGAAAAATTCTCATCAAATAACCCATCGCCAAAAGACCGTAGACCACGGATACTGTCATACAGTGCGCGAAACGCAAATAAATACACCCTCCGTCCCGCCGGTATTTCCGCATCGCAACCAGATTTTATAAAATCACCTCTTCACCCGCCTCAAAAAAGTGCTGAAACGAACGATTCTGAAGTCGGATTAGATGTAGCTCAAACCACCGCCCTGCTATTCATAAAAAAATCGTGCCAAATGCAAATAAATACACGAAACGCCATATCCCTAGTATTGATTCCTATGGATCCATATATGGAACATACCTTTCAAAATGGCTTTAGTCGCTCAATAGCCACGAGTTTTATTACTTTCGTCCGCCAACCCATTTTTCACACCACTCATAACCATCCACCAAAAGGCCAGGTTGATTCTACTTCGGCACCGTCTCCATTTGTATTATGCAACTTTCTCATTTTGGACCTCTGCAAACCACCCCTTTTTCTATTGTTTCATATATGGAAAAACCCAACATGTACAAGAAATTCTCATTACCGGGCCAATTATTCCAAGCTGCATGGTCATCCTCCTCATTGCGTTTTGAACTCAATCACATCCGGTTTGAGTGTCTTCGTCATCCATTGCGATACTCTGCTGTTGATTTGCACTTTCTGACGAGTTTGATGTCGGTTTCGGGGTGCTCCGGGGCTTCAAAACGCTACCTGAAAGCCACAGTTCTGTACAACATTCGCGCAGCCCATGATAGATGCGCATGCAGAGGGGCACGTCACATTACACGAATGTTTACGTCGTTCTATGACCTCACCAACCCTGGTCACGTCCGGAGTAACGGTGCATCCCGCAAAGTGCACCGTATTGCTGTGTATGTTTCTGCTGCAAAGTGTGATCCCCGGCCGATAAGCGCAACCGTTTCCCATCTTCACTACTAAAGAAAAAAGCCTCTTCCTCTTGCGTTGTTTTGCCGAATCTAAAACCCTACGACTCTCAGAATCTCCAATTTTGTCCTCACGCAGCTGTTCAGTCTCGGACTCTAGACCCACAGATTCTGCATAGACAATGACTTCCCGGCAGAGGTCGTAAATAAAATCCGCCGTTGACTGAGTAGAGTTTAAGGAGTTCGTAAAGGCTGCGAGATTTTGGAACATTTCTTTGCTATCGAACAATAAGCATCTTTCATTTATCCTCCATGCAATAAATGCATTGATTGTCATGGTTTTCAGAGTTTGGGACACTATCTTCTGTTCTCATTTCAGGGAGGAGGTCGAGGATCTTAAAATGGCACGAGCCTGCGCACTGCCTTCAGCCCCTCCCTTTGTATTTCAATAAACACTTTGAGAACTGTGCTTGAAAAGCTTCAGTGGGGGGAAGGCATCATTGTCCTTCACATAAGTATTCACTAAAGCCCAAAAAGGCAAGCGGAGCGTTAGAATTTCTGCAGTAGAATCGTTCGCAAATGCTGGTGGGAGTGGATCAGGCCCATAGGCCCAAGCCACGAGCGGACCTGCCACATTTGAAAGGTCTTCATGGCAGGAATTCAAAATGCTCTGACGGCAACACACAACTGCAGTAAACAGAATACCAGATTCAGAAGCTGCCACATAGACCACGTAGTTGACCGCCACCACAATCATTTGATGGAGAAGTTGTCCAGCGTGCTCCTGGGGTACTAGTTCTAGGAATAATCCCTCTCCAACTCTGCACTGAACACATCAACTGTCGCATTCTGTCGCATTCTGTACGAGACGGTCTAGGCTAGATTCGGCAACATTAGTCTTAATTTCAACTGATGCCAGCGTAGTAGAGTCTCCGGAGCTACCAGACTGCAAACCGAGCTCATCTAAATTTATTAGTGCAACACCATCAGGAGAGCACGCCAGCCATTCCTTCCCTTTTTTAGCAAGCATTCCGCACCCGTAGAAAGCGCTCACAAAAGGCTTTTGTGCCAAAGCAGAAAAACAGCCGGTTCATTCGCTGTACCCCGCATCATGTGCTCCGTAGACCGGGAGGAGGTAAACCATGTACCAACAAAAAGGTGCAACATCGCTGCCAAAGTCAGATCGCTATCAGAGGTTATCGGCTCAATTCCGAGGCTTAACCTCACATGACTGTTGCTCATTAAATTCTTCCCAACATTTGTCCCCGTAATAAGAAACTGTCGTAGTAGAAACCAGTCGGCGCAACTTTGATCCGCGGTCAAAACGGTCCAGCTACTAAAACTGTGTCTTTCTATTCTTTCGTTGGGTTCGATGGAGTCGGTGGATGGTCTTGAAAGGTGCCCTGTGTCAGTTCTCTTATTAAAGAACGTTGATCTGAGAGCCTCATGCTTGGGGACCGCAACCCAGCTGTTCAATTTTTCCTTCGTAGCAGTAGGTACGTTGAAAAGAAACCTTAAAACTGTACTGTATTTCTCCGTACTCCTCTCCCTCTCAGCGACCGCAGTTACAACAGACCTTATGGCTGGGGACGTAGAGTCCCCATTACCGGCGCGAAGCCTCTTATTTGCGGTCCAGGATGCAGGGGGTTGATGCGGAGAATCATCTATTATAAATGCGCGACGGCGGTCAGCAACAACTTGAGGCAGAATGATGTTTTCTTTAAGCACTCCTCCTTCAACTGCGGGACTGTGTTGTTGTTCCTCTTGCTCACTTCCCAAATCTTCACCATCCTCGATATCCGCGGGTGAGTCAGTTTCGTTTCGCATGACATCCAAGAAGGACTTCCCCACAAATGGATGACACCTTAACACGTGATCCGGCATAACAAACATTGACCTAATACGATGGCGAAGCACCACTTGTATTAATTCGAGTTTCCCGTAGCCACGGCCGGTGTAGTATTGTGGTATAACTACCCTCGTCCCGACCACTCGGAACCGAGGGGGGTTAGAGGTAAGGGAGCGCGCGCCGCTGGGTAACCCACGCGCGAACGCAGACCGTAAAGATGGACTCGAAAAGAGGGAAGGCTCACTTGGCCGATGACGCGCAGCCGGACGCTGGTGTTAGATCCGGACGGCCGGTCACGGGTTAGAAGCCTGAGACTAAAAGGAAAACCGGAACGGTGTTAGCACTTAGCCGTAAAGGGAAGGGAGGCGAGTCTGCCTCCTTTTTATTGGGACGGGCAGGTGTCTTAACCCCTAAGTGGGACGCCAACACACCTGTCTCTCTACAGTATCTGCCACTTACTGTGTACCAGCTACTGTACACAATTACTTAATTTGTGCCATTAACTACTACTTACTAGTTAGCCGCCGTACGGATTATACACGTGTGCCCGTGGCCACGATCCCGGCGGACGGTCGTGCCACGTGTTACCCGTGGCCATGCCCGCTGCTACCGGCTGTCCGACGTCGGACCCTCGGGGTACTACTGTACACGGCGGCAGGCGAGTGCACGCCCGCTCGTTACAGTGGCACCCGCCCTCCCGCGCGGTTATCATCTCCCCGGGGGGTTGTGGTACGGAATTGTACTACAATTGTAGGCACCCCCAACGACGAGGGGGGTGAGTACTGACAGTTCGGAAAGACCCCGATCGGCGGGAAGATAGAAGCACGGCCCACCCACGGTACCGAGCACGGGCTCGAGGTAGCGGTGGTAGAGCGGGATTGGGGAGGACGTGCGGACGCGCGAGCGGTTCTACGCCTCGACGCCCCGGAGCGGTACTGGGTGACGATCCAGTACCGACGGGCGGAGGCGGAGCCGGCTCGCGGGTGTGCTGCGCGCGTCCTCAACCCGCGCGCGGTGCTACTCCTAGGTAAAACGGACGGAAGTACCTGAGAGTAGGTAGGCGGACCAAGGTGGAGGATCCTTGACAAGTCCGTCCTTGTCCTCCTCCACCGCCGGCGGTCCGCACATATTTAATATACAGAGTAACCTATCATAACATTACAGTAGTGCAGGTCGGCCTGCACTGTAGCGCTGTCAGCCGTCGGGGCTGGCAGAACACGTGTCGTACACGTGTGTGTGCGCGCCCCCTTACACGTGGGGTACACGTGTGCGCGCGTACTGAGGTA